GGGCCTGGACAATTAGAATATGGTTTGGGGGCTCATTGTAGTATTTAAGTGTTGTAAAGGGGTCAGAAGGGAATACTATGAGTATAATTTTTCCGACCCCTATATCATATTCCTGAATTAAGGGTTTTTTGCAGGATCTAGGTGGAAGTGTGGTCCCAGGCACGCGCAGCTGCAAGAAGGCCGAGCAGGCCCATCGCAGGGGGCAGGGCCCCAGCAAGGTCGGTGGCGTAGGCCCCGAGGCCCAAGCAAAGGGCCAAGAGCAAGGCGAGACCTGTTTGGTTTAGGCTTTAGGGTTTGGGGTTTGGGGTTTGGGGTTTCGGGTTTAGGGTTTAGGGTTGAGGGTTTAGGGTAATTCCCCAGCATAATCCTCAAAGGGGTACCCAATAAGCACAATATCCCTTAATTAAGGAATATGCCGTAAACCATTCTAAGGGGCCCCATAATCGACACCATGACTCAAGGCTCTGCGATATTTTCCCCATCCCCATTTCCTTGAGTTAAGGCTTAGGGCTTAGGGTTTAGGGCTCCCAGGATTCGAGTTGATGCAAGGTCGGCACCGTAACCTTTGCGGAGCCTTGTCAAAGGCACGGAAAACCTGGGAAGGGGTTTTGGAAGATCTGGGAGGTCAGGGCATATCCCAAAGACTCCAAAACCCCTTAATTAAGGAATATACCTTAAATCATATTAGGGATCCTACTTAAGGAATAGACCTTTTAAATCATATAAGGGATCCTAATATAATTTAAGGTATATCCCTTCAACCCGAAACCCGAAACCCTAAACCCTAAACCCTTAATTAAGGGATACTGGAGTCCCTGGGTACCCCGCCTTGCAGCAGACGCATCGTGAGAGGCCACCTGAGAGGCGCGGCGCGCGTTTCGGTGCAGGGGCCGAGAAGGAAACCCTAGGCTTGGTAGGGTTTAGGGTTTAGGGTCTAGGGTCTAGGGTTTAGGGTTTAGGGTTTAGGGTTTAGGGTTTCGGGTTTAGGGCCGAGTGTCAACGAAACCCTAAACTCCACCATCATGGGGGTCTATAGGGTGTGATAGACACGCGTTGCAGATTCCCTTAGAACAAGGACCCCCTTAACCCTAAACCCCAACTCCCCCCTCCCCCCCCCCCCAACAAAAAAACGAAAAACACAGGAAGCCGCGTGCAAAGCGGCATATCCAAGCGCAACTCCACACTGCCCGGCCGCGGCGCAGGAGATGGCGTGATATCCTGAGCCAGCTGGTGCTTCGGAACTGCAATCGTAAACAAAACCCTAAACCCTAAACCCTAAACAATAAAGGTTTAGGGTTTACTCGGCGCTCTCTCTGAGTCTGAGCAACTGAGAGCGACTGCACTGTGAACCAGCAAGGTTTCGGGTTTAAGGTTTAGGAGGGGTTCGCCCCAATACACCCCGAGACGACGTCTTATTTGGGGAAACGCAAGATAGGTTCGGGCTAATGGGATTGAATGGCTTCTTACAGGAGACTGAACTCATGAACGCATCTAGACGCGGGAGGAACCTAGGCAAAAAAAATGAGCCCTCTTTGGCTTCAAGGGGACTCTCAGGACACCCCAACCCTAAAAATGGAAATAAGGGCCTACTCCGTTCCCTAGCCCTAAACCCTAAGCCCTAAACCCTTATGAACCCTAAACCCTAAATTGCTTGAGTGCTACGAGGGGGGGGGGGGTGGCACGGGTCTTGTCTGCGCTGCCAGAGTCTCCCCCTCCCTTCCCTCTCACGCCCATAAACAGAACCTCTTCTCCCATGACAGGAACTAAAAGAAAACTTCGATTTAGGGTTTAGGGTTTAGGCATGCCCAATCAAGTTCAATTAAGTTCGCGAAATCATAGATGAAGTGAATCACGAGTGAACACGCGAGTAATGGAAGGACAGCTGCTTGAAGTACAACATGCTTCTGTTGCTCCCTAAACCCTAAACCCTAAACCCTAAACCCTAAACCCTAAACCCTAAACCCTAAACCCTAAACCCTAAACCCTAAACCCTAAACCCTAAACCCTAAACCCTAAACCCTAAACCCTACACCCCAAACCAAGTTGCTGTGAAGGGTGGCGACTCAGGCGCACCCAGGGCTCCTTTCAGGGATAAAATACAAGGAGGGCCCCCCCCTTCTAAAACTAACTGTAGTTGAGGGACTTCTGACCTAGGGTTTAGGGTTTAGGGTTTAGGGTTAGGGTTTAGGGTTAAGGGTTTTTAGGATCCTTATAACCCAATTTAGGGTCCTTATAACTCTACTTACAGCGTTGGGGGCCCCTCCTTGTGGGGCACCATTCCTTCATTCCTGGATCTTCCAGAACCCACTAAGGAAGGAATACACCCTAATGTATACTAAGGATCATGACCTTTGAATTAGGGTACGTGCCTGAATTGAGAGGTTTTGGGGGTTTAGGGTTTAGGGTTTAGGGTTTAGGGTTTAGGGTTCCCTACTCAGAACCAGTAAGCTTTGGGCTTCGCGGGCCCCTAAGAATGCCATGTCAAAGGCTGGTGCTGCTTGGAGGTTCGGGGCTCGCAGTTTAGGGTTTAGGGTTTAGGGTTTAGGGATTTTTTTGCCACCCGCGTTTAGGGTTTAGGGTTTAGGGTACTTACTAACCAACTATAAGTGTAGATACTCCACTTACAAGCCCCTTAAAAACCCTAATAGGGTCATGATTGGGTTATGGGTGCAGGTAGAATTGGGTTACTAAGTACCGTGAACCTCCAATCTGAGAGGGCCTTGTAGAACTGTGGCTGTTTACATGGCTAGCGCGTTGGCAACAGGGAGCAGGGCCTCAAATGATTTTACCCTAAACCCTAAACCCTAAACCCTAAACCCTAAACCCTAAACCCTAAACCCTAAACTCTAAACCTAGGATCGACAAGGGTGCCCTGTTGTGCTTCAAAAGGGGTTTATAAGGCAACTTAAACCACCGAAAAAGCGAATGAGGGCACTACGGGCCATCCTCCCAGAGACTCCAATATCCCTTAATTAAGGGTTTAGGGTTTAAGGGATATACCTTAAACTCTAATTGGATCCCCAATATGATTTTTCCTTAATTAAGGGATATTGGAGTCTGTGGGCTCTTACCCTTAACCCTAAACCCTAAACCCTGCTCTTTGTGTTCTTCAATCAGCCTTATGTTCGGCCTGGCCCTTGTGTCCTTGTCTGAATAAAGTCGCATGATCCAGCTTCTGCTTGCATGACCGTGAGACCCTCAGGCCCTTGGTGCGAAGCTCCGGTGAAAAGGGTTTAGGGTTTAGGGTTTAGGGTTTATTGTTTAGGGTTAGGGTTTAGGGTTTAGGGTTGCAAGGAAGTTGCCCGCAGCAAGCTGCTATGAGCTGCTCTGTGACAACTCTCGGAGGCGCCAGAGGTGACGACAGGCCAAGACATGCTACCAAGTACCGCACATCGCTTAGGGTTTAAGGTCGTGATTGCAACTACAACCGCTGAACTTAGGGTTTAGGGTTTAGGGCCTCTGATCAAAGACGATGTCCGAGTCGTGTCCATTGAGCAGTGTTGCCAGACCCACTCAAGCCAGAAGCAACTGCAGCGCTGCCAGCAAACTGTGGTGACGTGCCGGGCTGCATGTTGCGTGGGGTAAAGACCGACGCGGAAAATTTCAAGCCACCCAGCATGATCACATACTTGCAACTTTCGAAGGGAACCGCTTGGAGGTTCACAGGTACTTCTCAGTACCGTACCTAGTATAAACTACCCGTGAAGCTCCAGGAAAAGACAGGCTAAGTGCGGATCCGGAAGATGAACTTCGACGGACTGCAGAAAACATGGTGAGTTCCTCTCCTTCTTACAGAAGGCTTAGAAAAGGCGGGCGAATGTCTGATGTAGGGTTTAGGGTTTAGGGTTCAGGGTTTAGGGCCCTAAACCCGAAACCCTAAACCCACAAAGGGGCCAGAAATATCGAGAACTCACCACACGAAGCTCTGCCTTTGTGGTGCCGAGCACTCCCTGACCGGGTCGAAGAGTTACTCCTGGGTCGGCCCGGCAGAGAGCCCGGTACCCCTTCAGTAGGGTTTAGGGTTTAGGGTTTAGGGTTTAGGGTTTAGGGTTTAGGGTTTAGGGTTTAGGGTTTAGGGTTTAGGGTTTAGGGTTTAGGGTTTAGGGAAATTCTGTTTAAATATAGATAGGGACCCTGAGTCTGATTTAAGGTATTCTATTCCTTGATTCAGGAGTACTGGGCTCTTTGCTGTGTTTGTTGAGGATCCCAGCCCTTCGCCGTTGCAGGGGCGGCACCGGGTCGGATGACGAATTCGGTCCATCTCGCGAGCGTGAGGCCTTGTTGAAGCAAGCACCTAGGCCACGTGAAAGCTCCCGAGAACAGGCATGAACTATGGCGGAGAATGGCAGAGCAGTTGTTCACCCGAGGAAGTATTTCCTAACTCCATGCGAACAAGATATGTTCACCTTGCTCCTTCCCAACTCCTTGGTGAACCAACTACTTATAAAAGCAATCCACCAGGAACACGTGCACGTGCATTCTCGTGATGCACTTCGGGACCACAAGAGTCTTTGAGTTGGAAGGAACATGAGTTTTGTTGAATGCGCTACGTCAGCCACAACTCAGCACAGCTGCCGATGCTGTCCACTAGGTGCGAAGCTTCGTTGGCAAAGTCATAAATACATTGGGATCGCTTTCGCTTGTTTCCTTAAAACGATCAGGCCGCGATCAGTTACTCAAGACACGCTTCACCGATCCTTCCGCCTTGGATCCCACGGAAAACCCTGGCGCATTGGCCACTACCCAGATCTTCCAAAACTCCCTGATTAAGGAATATACCCTAATTGACACTAAGGATCATAATTATGAGTTAGGATAAATTTTCCTAAACCCTAAACCCTAAACCCCAAACCCCCAACCCCAAACCCCAAACCCAGGCTCAAGCTTGTCCCGCTGGGAAGTCAGTCACACCCGTGCTCTGCACAAGGCGCCAACGACTGAACTTTGACATCTCTGGGTAGGAGGTTGGCCTAAACCCTAAACCCTAAACCCCAAAACCCCTATTGGAGGTTTTGGAAGATCGGGGATCTGGGTAGGAGGTTGGCCAGCTTCAACGCCTGTTCGGGCCTCGGGCTGCTGTGGAAGACAAGCGCCGCTCGCAGCAGTCGGGTCAGCCGCGCGTCGGACAGCGTGCTGTACCATCGGGCGACTTCATACCTTGGGGAGGGTTTAGGGTTTAGGGTTTAGGGCTTAGGGTTTAGGGTTTAGGGTTTAGGACGACATGAACCCTAAAGGGTGTACGGTTCCGAAACCTGAACAGGAATTGTACCATCTTCCAAAACCCCTCAACAAGGCATAAGTATGAGTTGGGGTAAATTCCTTACTTCAGGGGTCTGGGTTGGGGACATGAACCCTAAAAGGGCTTGCGGTTCAGAAACCTTAATAGACATTGTAGTAGTGCAGGGTGAAAGGGGGTCCCAATTTTAGGGTTCATTTGGTCCCCAAGATACCAGGCTTCAGCAGGCAGCATCGGGCGAGCCTTCGAGACCGTGACGATCTCGTGGAGTGCTTGAAGGAACCTAGCTCATGGTTGGGTTAATGTTTACAAATATCTAACTTGTTTATTCCTTCTTGGGTTTAAGTACCCTTAAGACTGTAAAATGACTAATTTGTGTATTCCTTATTGGGTTTAAGTACCCTTAAAACTGTAAGATGACTAATTTGTGTATTCCTTCTTGGGTTTAAGTACCCTTAAAAAATGTAGAATGACTAATTTGTGTATTCCTTCTTGGGTTTACGTACCCTTAAAAAATGTAAAATGATGAATTTGTGTATTCCTTCTTGGGGTTTAAGTACCCTAAAAAAATGTAAAGTGGTACCCAACTATGACAAAGGGAACTTTCCCCAAGTCTCCTCGGGCTTGCGGGACCAGTGAGCACGGTTTGTCGACAGCTCACCTTGGCAACCCGGGTTTAGGGTTTAGGGTTTAGGGTTTAGGGTTTAGGTTTAGGGTTTAGGGTTTAGGGTTTATAAGGTTTAGGGTTTAGGGTTCAGGGAGGTTGGTTGCCTTAGAAGGGAACCTTGAACCCCAAGAAAGCGTAAAGGCTAGCACTGGGCTAGCAAGTCACAAAGTGCCGCAACCAGGAGCATAGCCTGCTTCGAGTTGAGCTGCAAAGCCTCTGCCGCGAATCGGAGCTTGTCATCCATGAGTCTAGCCGATGGAGGGCGCCGGCTCGGCTTGCCTTCGGACTGCGATGTCCCCGAACTCCAGCTCCTCCCGGTCTGCGGCTCCCGCGCGCGGGGACTGGCTTTCTCGAGATCACCCAAGCTGGGGGCCGACGGCTCCCCGTCCCACTGGCGCACCAACCGTGGAGCTGTCAGTGCCAGAAGGCATGCGGAAGTGACACACAACAACGAGGTAGCCAACGCCATCACGGGTGGGAGAAGCTGAGCGCTGGTCGCGGGCGCAGCGGGCTCCATGGTGGGGGCCAAAGCCGTGGCAGCACGGCCCACACCTGCGAGCATCAGGCCAAGGGAGAGCAAGTACAAGTACAAGAGTAGCTGGCGTCGAGTGCTGGTTCGGCTGCTCCCGCCACAGTCCCCCGCACTTCCCAGCAGCACGCGTGCAGCAATGGCGAAACAAGTCAGGCAAAGGGCAAGATCAATCATAGGGCCGCAAACAGCTTCTGCTGATGCCATGCCCATGACCATGTTCAGAGACGCTCAGGGGCCTGCCCCTCACTGCGTCTTGCTTCACTGCTTGCGGCGCTGAGGCAAAACTTAAGCCAAAATGACTCTCGCGATCGTCCTCCCCGGCTCCTCCCAAAGTAAGTCCCCCCAATCGTTTTAAAGTTCAAGGGTTTTCTGGCTGGTGCTTAGTAGGGAATGAGGGAATTGGGCACCCCATATCCCTAAATCAAAACGGATGACAAGAGGGCGTAAAGAGTACAACCCTAAACCCTAAACCCTAAACCCTAAACCATGTTGGAGGCTTGTTTTGCGGCATCCGGGGAGGCCGTGTCTTGGTTGCTGAGTCGCTGAGTTCACAAGCCCCCCCCAAAAGTGTACACTTTCAGTTTAGGGTTTAGGGTTTAGGGTTTAGGGTTTAGGGTTTAGGGTTTAGGGTTTAGGGTTGAGGGTTGAGGGTTTAGGTTAGGGTTTAGGGATATCCCTGAATTAAGGGACATTGGAGTCCCTGGGTTGATAGGGGGTTACAGCATCCCAAAAAGTGTAGAGGGTACTCACTCAGCTACTAAGGTGTAGAACTGTGGCTCTTTACGTGGCCAGCGTTGTGAACAGGGAACAGGGGCGCACATGATTCCACATTCGTGCTCTTGGATCAGCTTTGTGAATATCTGAGCTCTTGTTTTTCGCTTCCCCCCCCCCCCCCCCCCCCCCCCCCCGAACATTCGCATGATCCAGTTTCCGCTTGCATGACCGTCTTACTTCTAGCGAACTCGGCGAACCCCCACTGATGCACATTCGTGCCCGGCTGGTCGTCAGAAAATGGTGTTTGCTGCATACTTCTTTTGCACACGCGATCACATGTCAACTGGCACTGGCACAAGCGGAAGAGGCTCTCGGTATGAAGTTCCGGCATGTTCCGGCGTAAAGGCATCCACACCGGGAGACTGAAATCGATGTTTGCACAGAATTTGCCTGCAGCAACTGCTCACTAACGCCTCTTGGTAGTGCACGGTGGCGACGAGAGAAGACATTCTTACCAAGTACCGCACGTCGTGGTTGCAACTAATACTGCCCTTCTTATCAACCATGAACCTCTGATCAAAGATGATGTCCACCTCGCGCTCATTGAGCAGTGTTGCCAGACCTAATAATAAATTGCCGGGAGCAACTGCAGAGCTACCAGCAAGCTGACAAGCTGAGGTGATGTGCCGGGATGCATGTTGCGTAGGGCAACGACCGACGCGGAAGATTTAAGGCAACCCAGCATGATCACTTCAGACGATCACAACTCCACAGCCCAAAGAGCCCCCCGGAGAGGCGCTTGGTACGAAGTTCCGGTGGAAAAGCATCCACACCGGGAAACTGGAACATATGTCTGCACAGAATTTGCAGCAAGCTGCTCTGAACCGCTCATTAACGCCTCTCGGTGGTGCACGGTGGCGATCAGCGAAGACATTATTACCCAAGTACCGCACATCGTGATTGCAACTACAACCGCCCTTCTTATCACAAATGAACCTCTGATCAAAGATGATGTCCGAGTCGCAATCTATAGCCGGGAGCAAGTGCAGCGCTACCAGCAAGCTGACAAGCTGAGGTGATGTGCCGGGCTGCATGTTGAGTAGCGTAGCGACCGACGCGGAAAGTTTAAGGCAACACAGCATGATCACATTACGGCGTTCGAAGGAAACCAAACAATGACAATTGCACTGCCCAAAGAGCCCGATACGAATGTACCTTAAATTCAAGGGATCCCCAATATGATTTAAGGAATATATACATATATACATATATACATATATATATATACTTTAGTTACAGGGTATTGGGCTCGTTGGGTGTGTCATGTCCAACAGGATATTACCGACCATTTGCCTCAGAAACTCCCAAAAACAAAACACATGTTCTTCCTAATAGGGGCAATATACGGAATATGACCTTGTGTTTCGTGGGTGTCTTACGCATTAAATAGTAGGAAAAGACAGGCTTTGTGCTGATCTGGAAGATCTGCCTCGGCAGACCGCGCAACCGAATAGGCGGGTACCAAAAAAGGGACCAGAACTTTGAGAACTGACCGCATCCACTTCTGCCTTTACGGTGCCCTTTAGCCCTCCCTGACCGGGCCGAGGCTGTCACTGCTGGGTCGTCCTGTGTTTCCTAAACCCTTTTTTTGCATCCGGGCTACTTCCTAAACCCTAAACCCTAATCCCTAGTCCCTAAACCCTTAGCCCTAGACCCTAAACCCCTTGCTGAGGATCGTCCCATCTTGGGAGTGTAGACCTTGTTTAAGCAAGCCCCAAGAGAGCCCAATGCCTCCTTGTTAAGGGTTTAGGGTTTAGTGTTTAGGGTGGAATACACCTTGAACTATACAATATGATGTAAGGTATATGGCTTAATGGACGGGTGGTGGGCTCTTTGGGTGTGCCATGTCCAAATATGTCCAACAGGAAAAGACAGGCTTGGAAGATCTGCTTCGGCGGACTGCGCAGCTCACATGAATCCAATCACAAGACACGGTCCGTTCCTCGAAAATGTGGTCCCTTTTTGGGGTTACTATCATAAGGCGGCCACTAGTATTTAGGGCACCCATTTCGGGCCCCCGGGTACCCAAAAAGGGACCATCATTTTGAAAACTAATCACACGCAATTCTGCCTCTACGTCGACCAAGCACTCCCTGACCGGGTCGAAGATGCAACCTCTTGGTCGCACTGTGTAAACCCCTAAACCCTCAACCCTGAGCCCTCTAAGCCCTAAGCCCTAAGCCCTAAGCCCTAAGCCCTAAGCCCTAAGCCCTAAGCCCTAAGCCCTAAGCCCTAAGCCCTAAGCCCTGACACTAAGCCCTAAACCCTATAAACCCTGTAAACCCTAAACCCTAAACCCCTTGCTGAGGATCCCCAAGGATCCCCTGGCCAGGAAGCGCCCAGGCGAGATGACGAATTCGGCCCATCTTGCGAGGGTAGCCTTTAGTTGAACTTTAAACTTTTGGGTTTCGGAATATTACAGTTTAACTTTTTTCCCTTGGTTGTTGGAGAAGTCAGTTTAGGGTTTGGAGATTAGGGTTTAGAATTTAAGGTTTATAAGGGTTTATCAGGGTTTTAAGGGTTTATAAGGGTCTAAGGTCTATAGGGCACTTAGGACTTTCGAACATACAGTATCTTCAACAATCCACCGTTGTCCTGCTAATTGGCAACCCTGCGCCAATACGACGGCCATAAGAAAGCCGACAAGACCAAGCATTAACTATGGCGGAGACTGCCAGAGCAGTTGATCACCCGAGAAGTGTTTCCTTACTCCACGTCATGATTATATTCACCTAGCTCCTTCCCAATCCTTGGTGAGCCAACTACTGAAACAAAAGGAAGCCCGCCGGGAACTCATGTGCATGTGCATTCTCGTGATGCACTTCGGGACCACAAGAATCTTTGAGCTGGAAGGAGCAGGAGTTCTATTGTGCGTGCAACGCCCGTCACGACTCAGCACAGCTGCAGAAGATGTCCACTATAGGTGCGAAGCTCAGTTTTCGGGTTTAGGGTTTAGGGAAATACCTTGGGATCGGTCTCATTTCTTTCTCTTAAAACAGCTAGGCCATGATCAGATACTTAAGACACGCCTCACAGAACCTTCCGCTTTGGATCCCACGGCAAAACTTGGCGCGTTGGCCAGTAGGTTGGCCAACTTCCGCGCCTTCGTGGGCTTCGGGCTGCTGTGGAAGATCAGGGCCGCCCGCAGCAGCTGAATCAGCCGCGAATCGGAAAGCGTGCCGTACCTTCGTTGCTGAGTTCGTTTACTATAGTCTTGATACTATTCTTGCTAGTCTTTGTACTAATGTTGCTATGGTTATGGTATCCCAAGAAGTGTAAAGTGTCCTCATTCAGCTACTAAGATACCATCTGGCGACTTCATACCAGGCTTCAGCAGGCAGCATCGGACGGGCCCTCGACTCCGTGACGATCTCATGGAGTGAATGAAGGAATTTTCCCCAAGTCTCGTCGGGTTTGCGGGACCAGTGAACACGGTTTCTCGATAGCTCACAAAGTGCCACAATCAGGAGCATAGCCTGCTTCGAGTTCAGCTTCAAAGCCTCTGCTGCGAATCGGAGCTTGTCATCCGCCAACCTAGCCCATGGGGCGCGCTTCTCGGTCTGAGGCTCCCGCGGGCGGGGAATGGCTTTCTCGAGATCACCCAAGCTTGGGACCCAGGGCTCCTCGTCACACTGGGGCACCAACCGGGGAGCCGCCAGTGCCAGAAGGGATGCGGAAGTGATACTCAACAACCTTAAGGAAAGGAAACGAGGCCCAAGAGGGTTCATGGTTCAAAAACCTTAAAACAGGAAGTAGAGTGGTACACTGGCTTTTAGGGTAGATGACCCCAAATTTATAAGGTTCAGTTGGTTCCCAAGGGACGAGGCGGCCAAGGCCATCACAGGCGGGAGAAGCTGAGCGGCGGTAACCGGCACAGCGGACTCCACGGAGAGGGCCAAAGCCGTAGCAGCACGGCCCACACCTGCGAGCATCAGCCCAAAGAGCCCAATGTTGCTTAAGGAATATTCCTTAAATCATATAGGGATCCTTAATATGATTTAAGGTAGATTCCTTAATTAAGCAATATTGGGCTCTTTGGGCACCTGCGAGCATCAGGCCAAGGGAGAGCAAGTACAGGCACAAGAGTAGCTGGCGTCGAGTGCTGCTCCTGCGGCTCCCGCCGCAATCCCCCACACTTCCCAGCAGCACGCGTGCAGCAATGGCCAAGCAGGTCAGGCAAAGGGCAAGATCAATCATGGTTCCCCGAAGAGCTTCTGCTGATGCCATGCCCATGACCATGTTCAGAGACGCTCAGGGGACCAAGTTGCCCCTCACTGCGTCTTGCTTCACTGCTTGCGGCGCTGAGCCAAAGCTTGAGCCCAAATGCTCTCGCCATTCCAAACAAAATGGGCCTTCGCTGCGTGAAATGGCGGCCAGTGAGTTGGGAGAGGGGCTAGGACCTCGTAAATTGGAGCTGGAAAGTATGGGGCTGAGCCTTAAGGTGAAGGGGATGGGAGGGGGGGAGGGGGGGGTGCCCAGGGACTCCAATATCCCTTAATCAAGGAATAGACCTTACTTTATCATTGGACCCCTAATATGATTTAAGGTATATTCCTGACATAAGGGATATCGGAGTCTTTGGGGTGGCGGGTTTAGGGTTTCGACTCTCACACTGGCATAAGCGGGCGAGGTTTAGGGTTTACGGTTTAGGGTTTAGGGTGGGGAGGATCTTGCAGCTGTTTGCATCAAACCGGCGACATGCACTGCACCACAACCTTCTTTAAATGACCTAAACCCTTTTTCACAAGGGACTCGCTAAACCCTAAACCCTAAACCCTAAACCCTAAACCCTAAACCCTAAACCCTAAACCCTAAACCCTAAACCCTAAACCCTAAACCCTGGCTAGGACTGCCGCACTGCCTGCCTGAGACGAAACCATGCAGCCCTAAACCCTCAACCCCAAACCTAAGCAATCCCCAAAACCAGAGTCAGGGTGGCCGAATCTGAGCCCGTCAGTTTAGTGTCTAGGGTTTATCCTTTAATTAAGGAATTTACCTTAAATCATATTAAGGACCCCTATAAGATTTAAGGAATATTCCTTAAGCAATGTTGGGCTCTTTGGGTAGCATAAATTCACCAGACCCTGAACCCTGCCCGCCTGAACCATAAGACCTCAAACAAGAAGCCAAGCCCTGAACCCTAAAGCTACAGCAGCGGGGTAGCAAGCAACGCCGATAACCCTAAACCCTAAGCCCTAAGCCCTAAGCCCTAAGCCCTAAGCCCTAAGCCCTAAACCCTAAACCCTAAACACGCATTGCCTCCATGCACCGGACGTCGCCGCATCACAAGCCTAAACGGATGACAAAGGGAGGATTTCAGCCAGAAGCCGTCGCCCCAACATGGAGTGTTGTTGCTGGGCAAATCCAGGACAGCGTTAAAAGCACTGAAAAAAACCCTAAACCCTAAACCCTAAACCCTAAACCCTAAATAGCCAAGAACCCTTAGCTGTTGCATCATTCTGCTAGCGGGCTTTTCAATCGGGTGCCCACGCAAAAGCACCAGAAACATGCAGAATAACAAGCGGTTTGCAGTAAGACCGCAACAAAGGTTTCTAATTGGTAAGTTAAATAAGCGCATTATGGCCGCAGTAACTTTGCCTTTATACATTGGGGCTACTGTATAATTTAGAGCGAGAAAGAGAGAGAGAGAGAGAGAGAAAGAGAAAGAGAGAGAGAGAGAGAGACAGAGAGAACCCTAAACCCTATAAACCCTAAACCCTAAACCCTAAACCCTAAACCCTAAACCCTAAACCCTAAACCCTAAACCCTGAGAGAGAGAGAGAGAGACGCATAGCCCATGTCGAAGGGCTACTTATGTATGTAGGGACTATAAACGATCATGCGGGGGTTCCGAAATCGGGGTACCCTTTTTGGGGCCCCTTTAAGGGGATTGTGTCCTATTTGGGGTATAAAAGGGGTGCCACTATTTTGGGAGATGCCCATATTATGTACGGGTTTCCGAAAATAAGGGTACCCTTTTGGGGGGTTCCTAGAGTAAGGATTAGACTATTTTGGGGTATATAAAGGGTGCACCCTTTTTTGGACCCTAAACCCTAAACACTAAATACCCATATACGGGAAGAAGATTGTTCGTCTGGAAAGCAGGTTCTCCTTCGGCGTGCCCCAGTTTTTTTTTGCCACCCGCCTAGCTGACACTGTGGCCACATTGCAGGGACTAGTTCCGGGAAAGTGCCCCTGTTTAGGGTTTAGGGTTCAGGAATTCAGGAACATACCTTAAATTCTGTATCAGGTATACTCCTGAATTAAGAGGCTCTCGATGAAACTGGAGAGCCCCGTAAGACCGGGGGTTTAACAAGACCCTAAACCCTAAACCCTAAACCCTAAACCCTAAACCCATTTCGTCGGGATCTTGGGGTTCTACCTGGGACCCTTAAGGTTGTACCCTTGGGTTTTGGGGTCCCGTTTTACGGATCCCTCAGGGTCTATAAGGGCCATACTAGGAGTATATTCAAGGGAAACCTTTAGGGGTATTTAAGGGCCATAGTAGGACTGTATTCAGGGGAGCCTTTAGGGGTACAACCTGAGGGGTACGAGTCTGAATCCCTTGAAGGGATGTCCAGCCGCGCCTTTTGCACATCTTGAGCACAAGCCTACAACCAGACTCAACCCTAAACCCTCAACCCCCCGAACTACCCAAAACCTAGCCCTCAAAGAAAGCAACCCTAAACCTAAACCCTAAACCCTAAACCCTAAACCCCAGCAGGTTCCGGCTGAGGCGCCGTGTAGGCGCTGCGTAGCGTAGCCTCAAGGAGGCGTCCGACTCTGCCTGCCACCTCGGATGAAGCGGCGAGGCCTCTATTGAATCTAAACCCTTTTTGCTAAACCCTAAACCCTACAAATCCTACAAATCCTACAAATCCTACAAATCCTACAAATCCTACAAATCCTACAAATCCTACAAATCCTACAAATCCTACAAATCCTACGCTCCCCTGAATTTAAGGAACATTTAGGGTCCCTACGTAATTTAAGATATGTATATATATATATATATATATTCCACTGATTCAGGAATATCCCTGAAATCATATTAAGGGTGCCTATGTTAATTTAAGGTAGAATCCGATTACTTAAGTTCTATAAAGGGCTCTCTCAGCTCCTTCGAAAGGGTTACTCGGTTTGGGGATTTGGGTGATCAGAGGATCTGCCCAAAGACTCCAATATCCCTTAATTAAGGAATATACCTTAAATCATATTAGGGATCCTATCATAGATTCAAGGTATTCCTTCATTAAAAGGGATATTGGAGTCCCTGGGCGTTTATGGCAGAGAGTCCTACGCTGCCTTGGCTGTTTCAACTCAAGGGTCCAAGAACCTGTCATGGGGTGGGAACAAGGAGGCCTTGAAATATAGGCCTAAACCCTAAACCCTAAACTAGCTCAACCTCCATCCCTACTTCTGAAGGCGAAGGACAACTAAAGGACAGAACCTGTCTCCTGGAAAGCTTTAGGGTTTAGGGTTTAGGGGCAGAAAGGGAAGGCTTGCAAAGATCCCAGCAGTAGATCCCTTTAGTTGTTCCTAAGAATGACCCAGTGGTAGTATAGGGTACTATTTGGGGCGGGGCGGTTCTACCTTTTCGAATCCTCCCAGGGGTCTGGGCATTGCAGCTCATGCTATCCCACAAGCACGAGACCATGAAAGAGAAACCCTAAACCCTAAACCCTAAACCCTAAACCCGAAACCGTGCAAGAAGCTTGTGCCTCAGTCTGTTCTGATCTCTGATTGCTCACAGAGAGAGAGAGGGGAAGGCGATCCCTTAGTCTGACTATGTTCTTCTCATATTATCCTAATCCCACATACTATATTTGTTGATACATATATATATATGTATATACTTGTTTTATCTATTTGTATCTATATATATATATATATAGATTCATAATTCAAGAGCCTTTTCTCCTTTGCAGTTGGCATCGCTGCCTTCGGCCCATGGGAACTCGAGCTTAGCGCACGCATATATGGGTCTGTTGCTGATGACCCTGTCGCTGCCCAAATGCAAGGGTTTAGGGTTTAGGGTTTAGGGTTGAGGGTTGAGGGTTTAGGGTTTAGGGTTTTCAGAGTCCAATGCGCCCGTGGCAGCTGAAAAACAGCAAGCCTTACAGCTCATGCTGTTTCGGTATCTGCTGGCCCCTGTTGAGCCTGCAAATGTCGAGCTAAAGCCTGACTCACGACTTCTGTGGGGTCTGAAGCGGCGGCCTCTGTTCAAGCTTGGCTTATCGTGGTTTAGGGTTTAGGGGGTTTAGGGTGTGGCCAATGTAACCTGCATCATTCCCAGCTCATCCTAGGAAAGAGATGCCCTCAGGAGAACATTTGTTAAGGCTCGCTGTGGTTTGGGATCGACCTTGTATTGAAGAACTTACTTGCAGGAGTGTAGGCTTGGCAGCAGCGGCGACTCCTCTCTACAAGATGCGAAGGAAGGCAAGTCGACGTGCCTGGGCTGTGTCGCAATCCATTCGGGCTGCTGCCCCCTTGAGCTTCATCAAGTAGTCTTTGGTCTCATCCGGAAGACTGGCGATGAATGCGAAGGAGTTGGTCCTCACCTTGCAGTGACTCATCAAGTGCATCAGCACTCAAAGACTAATAAGCACGTTATGTTACATCAACGCAGAGTTTTTTGTCATTCAAAATGCTGATCATCATCATCATCATCACAGGAATCCCGAACGCATGGTTTTCATCCCGACATACAGTCGAACCCATGACCGGGGCAAGAACCACAAGGGATCCAGATCTTCCCAAAACCCCTTAAAAAAGGAATATGCCATCATATACCCTAATTTATACTAAGGTTCATTATTTTGAATTAGGGTATATTCCTTATAATTAAGGGGTTTTTACAAAGGTTCACTATTTTGAACTAGGGTATATTCCTTATAATTAAGGGGTTTTGGAAGATCTGGGGATCGAGACCCAGTGGCGGCTTCTTCGAGCTGCACCAGAGCTGCTGTGACTGAGCTGCGGCTCTCGGGGAGGAGCCCAGCAGACATCGCGGCCGCGCCTGGCAAACCGTTTAACTGTTTAACCCTAAACCCTATACCCAAAACCCTTTTGAGCAACGGACTTTGGAGGCTGCCGGCAAACATGCAACTTCTTAGAAGTCACACCCTAAACCCTAAACCCTAAACCCCAAATAGGGGATATTGGGAGACATTGGGAGAACAGTCTTACATCTTGAGTTAGGGTATATTCCTTAATTGAGGCGTTTTGGAAGATTTTGG